CAAACTTTTCTCAGCGGATATCCAATGATCAATTCAGTAATTAATTAATCAGTCAAAAAAATATTTATGACATTCTCGAATCGTTCGTGGTGGTTAGTTGACAGATCAAAACGTACTGATGTAAACATATTTAAGCTTATAACATCCTAGCTAATGTACAATTGTTTATGTTTTTTCAACGTGCGTAAATAAAATCTTCAATTACCTTCTATATATACTAAACTAAGTGTTCTAACTGCCTCGGTTATATTCATTTTATACGTATTCATTAGATAATCACTTCTAGAGAAATAATTGTCGAACTACTCTTCATGCTAATATAAATTACGATTACTATCTGAATAGAGCTCAAACAAAAAGGAATAGAGGCTACCACTTTTCTCGTTTTCGTTCCTCCTAATTACAAGATATGACCGCAAAGCAAAGCGCAAGCACCAAGCACCCTTATTTCTGCAAACAACATTTCACATTGCAGAAATAATATATTCAACAGAATGATAGACTCTACATCACGCGTATAATTTTAACAACCAACCAGATTTTAATAAACACTTCCCGTTTATGCGGTCCCTTAATCACTAGATTTTGCCTAAAACTTGTATCATGACACGTTTGACATGAATCTATGAATGATGAATGTTTAACCATGTATCGGTATCGGTTTGACACGTATCACGACCGCACAAAACTGTGTCATGACATGTTTGACATATGTCAAGCATGAATGTACGAATGATGAATGTTTGACCATCTATGGGTACCGGTTCGACACATATGATGACACCACCAAATTGCGTCATGACACGTTTGACATATGTCAAACATGAATGTATGAATGATGAATGTTTGACCATCTATGGGTACCGGTTTGACACATATCACGACCGCACAGAATTGTGTGATGACACGTCTCACATATGTCAAACATGAATGTATGAATGATAAATGTTTGACCATCGATGGGTAGCGGTTTGACACATATGATGACACCACCAAATTGTTTCATGACACGTTTGACATATGTCAAGCATGAATGTATGAATGATAAATGTTTGACGATCTGTGAGTATCGGTTTGATGCTTGTCGTAACGGCGCGGTAGGGAGGGGGGCAAGTTGAGTGTGAGCTGGCTAAACAGGATGACAGCACGTGACATATGGGAAATTCGAACGGATGATTTGTGCAAGGCTTCTGTGTGATTGTTGATAGATTCTCGAACATTCATAACATTCATAGCTTGACGTTTGAGAACAAAGTAATGACCGTCCTCGCTTAAAGCTAAATCAAGAAGTGTTACTGTATCATCTCAACTTCAATTACCATTACCATTCACTCAAGTACCTTCTTCATTTTCTAATCAATTAGCGGTATCTTCTACTCAATTACTCTCATCGTCGACAACGAGTCCAACCGTACCACCTTCAACAACCATTACTGAACATGAACATCGTAATCAGATCATTAAAACGATAGGTACGTGGTGTGAGAGAGAAAAAGAATCGATAGGTTTGGATGAATTGTCTTTATCAATTGTTGATGATTATAAACTCTACATAAATGACGATACCGAGAATTTGGAAGCATCAATCCGTTGTAATTGTGGTGTTAAACTAAACTTATTTAAACTTAAGACCCGAACATTTTTTCAGTTATCTAATTTTTATGCTCATCTGAAAAGTAAAAAATGTTCAAAAAATCGTGTTCCATCATGGAAGATAAAACGTATGTAGTGAAAAGTGGATTACGAAATGGTTTAGATAATTTATTAACGCTTTTAAAAGCCCCAAACGAGCAACAATTCAAATGTAATAATGATGATGACAATAAGGTGCATTTTCTTTGTGATCTGGTTGATAAAAATCCGTTGTTGAGATCATTGGTGTCATTTTACGAGAAAAATTCAGAACATTCATCAAATAAATCAACATTCACATCGGCGTTCATTGATAATATAACCAACAATCTATCAAAATCAAACAACAATCACAGATACGACTCGGTGGTGCAGCGGTTCGCTTTGTCGTTGTTCATATTAGGGGGAAGAATGTATGTGATTTTGTACGAATGAATTTGAATGGCTCTTTACCAAGTTTACCAACGTTAATCATATTGACGAAAGATAAAAATTCAACATTCGGCGAAGGTCGTTTTCGTTTCAATGAGCTAGAACAACATTTGGGTAGAATGAATACATCAATTGGTTTTGCATCTGAAGATTGCACTGGGATAGTCAGAAAAATACGATATGATACCAACACTAATTCATTCATCGGATTCTGTACTCCACTTGAAAATGGCATTCCATCCGAACAACATTTTAAAACTGATTCATTTGATCAAGTGAACGAGTGGTTCTCTAATATTGAGAAAGCTCCACTCTTAAATATTCACATGTTTCAACCGTTAGCTCAGTCAATGAAAAATTGTTCGCCAGTTATATTAGCGGCATACGGAACTGACAGCAAATTTACAGCAATTGATATTTTTCGACGCGGGATACACATCTATGAACAATGCTCAGCCAAAAAAATTCGTATCATTGGTTTCTCAACAGGTACTATGCTCCTTGTATACTGAACACTACGGAATCGGGATTGAGAAGAGAATTTTTTTCTAAAATCAGAAGCGCCCTTTTTTTTGAATTAGGGTCAAAAAGTTTAATCCCACAGGACTCTAAACTACTGTTCTTCTGCTTTCTTTATAAACAGATTGCGACAGTAAATATTTACGAGCGATGCAGTTGGTTAGCGAATTTTTTGCTGATTTATCAAGTTTAAAACTACATGAACAACCTGGAGCATTTGCGGTTGCTGTTCCAGCAACATAGACATGGTTTTATCTTCGAAAACAACAATTGTTATTGTTCTTCCAAGATCCTACTCATCTTGCTACCAAACTACGTAACCATTCAAGCGAGAAAACTTTACGCGCATTTGATTGAGAATCATGTCATATTTTCTTTCAATGTTTTTGAATCTCGGTCATTTATAGTAGGGAAAAAAATAATCGTTTATGACAGAACGGAATTTTCT